CTGCTGAACTTTAGGCATGTCTTACCTCAGCAGTAGGGATGCTAGCACTTGCTTCACCGGGTAGTTGGGACGTCTAATGAGGAAGTATGGGCTACCATGTGTAGAAAAGGCCACTCTTACCTAAACCGTGACCTTGGCTCCTGCTCCTCAGGAGTTCCGCCGCCTCCACCTCCCTGGCCACGTTCTTCTTGAGGACCCTGATAGTGGCTTCTTCTTTGTGGCAGCTGGCCAGCAGCCAGGTGGGTCCCAGGGGGAGCCTCGTTCAGCAGCCTGGGCTTGGCACAGCCATGAGGACAAGGCTGAAGGCATCGAAGGGGAGGTGAGTTTGACCTAGGAGTAGGGGTGGGAGGGGTGGGCCTAGTCTGCAGTCCTGACGTGCTGCCCCACAGGCCCTAACAGCCAGTCCCCAAGCCCCAGGCTCACCAGAGGATTCTGAAGGCACCCCCCTCATCAGCCTGCCCAGTCTGCCACAGGGAGGTAAGAGAGGACTTGGGCAGCAAAATCTGGGGCCAGGACCAGGTGCTCATAGATCCCTGGCCCTGCTTTTATTTCCAGAGAAAAGCTCCAGACATTTCCTTTCTCTGTCCAGGGAGTCAGCCTGGGCCCAGCCGGGGACTGAGCCTCATGTCCAGTCAGGGCAGTGTGGATTCAGACCACCTGGGTAAGCAGGGGCAGGTGGCTTAGGGCTGCATGGGGAGAGGTCTGGGAAGGGAGCCTCAGAAGGTACTAACATGAAAGGGCTCACCCTCCTGTGCACTCTGAGTCTCATATGAGTGAGGCCCAGCTAAGAAGGTGAAACTTCACATTTGACATAGGTTATGATGGTGGCAGCAGTGGCTCAGATAGTGAGGGTCCCGATGAGACCCTCAGTGAGAAGGCCCCCTTCACTTTGCGGACTCCACCTGGGCTGGCACCTCCACCACCTTCCCTCTCCAGCCTCCCTGGGCCCTGCCTGCCTGACTTCTGGCTCATCATCCGGGTACTACAAGATCGTGTAGAAGTGTATGCACATGCACGGTGAGTGGAAGCCAGGGCCTGCACCCTGCTGCACTGTACCTCTCCTCCCACATAGCCCTCTCCAGTGTTGCTAAAAGAGACTTGAGACCAAGAGCTTGGGGAGGGAGTTGATTGTATTCTGAGGTTGGGAGGTCCAAGTCACTTCCCACATCATTTAGCAAAAGCACATCATTCTCACTTTCTTAATGGACTTCCAACTGAGCATTAAGAACAACTATGGTGGGACCAGCAGTTAGTGTAATGGCTTTGTCACTGGATTCCCACGTAGTCGACTGCAGTTCGAGTCCCGAACCCAGTGGCTTAAACTCACGCCAGGCATGTGTGCATGCGTGCCCAAGATCCCGAGAGGAGAATGGAGGAGAAGGGATTGC